TTAGCCTAAATCTGCATTCTCTGGGGAGAAGGTTTTGATTTTCGTATTTGGTTAGGTTTTTCTGCTAGAGGGTAAGATAATAATGACCCACAGGAATCATTGTTAATATTATGCCTGTGGCGTAGAGCCTTCCAAAAATCCATCCTAAACTAGACCAAGAAAACATGGTGATATGGGGGTGGGGAGGCCTCTGCATTTTTTTCTCCTGGCAGGATGCTGGAAACTGTAGTTAAGTACCGCATTTATACAGCATGGTTCCTTTCCAGAGACCTCCCTGTTATCAGAATGCCCACAGAGCACCAAAGCAAAACCATTTCTGAAGTGGCAGGGCCACGGTCTTCTGCAGTGTTGGGGAGGGGCCTCTTTGCCAATGAAACTGTAGAGAAAGAGATGCCAAGGCATAAGGGAAGCTGGCGGAGACTGGTGAAACTCTGCCCCCTAGGTTTATTGCCAAAAGTACTATGTGGGATTGGTTTTATAAAGTGTTTGGGACAGGTATGCATTACTTTAATATAGCCAACTTTCCAGAAAACTTCCTACGAAAATTTTATCAATTTTGACACAGAGTTTTCTTTCTTGTTGTCATTTTTCATCATGGCCAAGCCAGTTGGCCCATTCTCGTGAGGGGATGGAGTGTAGAGCCAGTGTTTGGCCCTTAAAAGTGCTCTAGGCCCAGAGGTTCCTATTCTTCAGCAATGTTGGTTCCCGGTGCTGGATCTTGGACCCGGGGCCTCATACATTCTTGGCAGGTACTCTACCAATACTTATTCTTCAATATGTTTGGGGTGTTTTGTTGTTGTTGTTGTTTGGTTTATTTTTTGAAAAAAAAAAAAAAGATACTGATTAAATCTTGCTTTTAAAAATTAAAGGGAAAGCCTATGGCATAAGTCCAGGCCATTCTCTCAAAGTTTACAGAGTAGAATAATTTTTTTTTAAACACTAGACATTTCTGGTGAATACTTGTAAAAATCTCCTGTGGGTGAGGACAGTGGCATCACTCATTCATTGTCTCATTGCTGGAGCACCCTGGAGCTGAAACAAGCATTTACCTGGTGTCCTCTGAGAGAAGATGTGCTCGTAGCATAGTTTATGTGTGTGAGTGCCCAGGTCTGGAGAAGGTGAAACAAAAAATAGGGACTGATGGAGAGATGAGAGCATCTCAAAGGAAAAGAAAAGACCATGAAGAGCAGCAGCCTGTCTTCCTAAAGACATGGTATCCTGAGATGTAGTCCAGGCTATGCTGGGAAAAGGAGCCCAGTCCTATAGTGATCGGGCTGTAAGCTACATTGTGGTAAGACTAACAACTGCTTCCTAAAAGTACTCCTTCTAGAACAATACAGAATAACTATTCAATAAATATAATATTGTTGATTGGACTTCTTAACAGCCTTAAGAATTTACCAAACATCCTTATGTTGCCTATATGTATTGACACATTCATGAGTAAAATGTTCCAGTGTCTCATGTCTGGTCTTTATTTTTAAACTCTGCAGGTGGGGAAAAGGTGCAGGAAGACAGACAGAGCTGTTGATTTGCGAAAGTGTTGATAAGTTGTAAAGCTGAGTGAAGGTTTATTTATTTATTTTTTTTTTTGCTGTACTTTTGGATATACTTGTTAAATTTCTGAAACTAAGGATTGTAAAAACGTTTAGAAGAAGAAAGAATGGAATTGAGTGTAGAAATGTCTCCTGGTAGAGGTGGTCAGACTTTAGGCCTCTGGAGTTTTCCATGCACCTGATATCTTTTTTTTCTTTGAAGGGTGGGGGCAAAATGATGAAAAGTAGGAGTCCCATAGGTCACAGGGCACTTGATTTCCATCCCAGAATTCAAGGCTGGCCCCTCCCACTGCAGACCTCCCTGGCTGTGCTCCGTGTGGAGCACCTGGTCCTTTGTAGCTCCTGTGTGCGTTCTTCTTACAAACAGTGCTCCCCGAAGGAAGACAAGACACTGAAGATGTCTTCAGTTGCAGCATGGCATGTGTTCCTTTCACACTGGGAGCAGAAAGGAGTCCCTAGGGCATTCCTGGGAGGGCAACCTTCTTCCTGACATTTGAACCTCAGCCAAGTCCCCTAGACTACTGGTTGCACCACAGTTAGTTCCATTCAGCAAAACTAAATTGTAAACTTGTTGACATTTTTGTCCTCTTTACAATTCATTGTTTATTTTTCCATGACAGAGAATTTTGATGCAATTATCAGCGAGCTTTCTGACAAAAGGGAAGTAGCTGAAGAATTTTGATGAGTTACCCACTTCATTAATCAGAACAAGCATCTCTAGTGACAGGGTTAGAATTACAATGAAGATTAGATAGCAAATTGCTGTTCCACCTAGTGTCAATCATCCGCAGTGACAGCAGTGTGATTACACATCAGGGAAGAGCTGCTCTTGCCAACAGAACGAGGGCAACTCCAGTGCAGGTAATAAATTTAGCAGGGTGGGCTGTCATTTCTTCTCTGGAGTGGAATCCTTAAAAACCAAATGCTGTCTTGTGGAAGATTTTCAGGGGGAGACAGCATTTCACTTTAAAACTTCCTCTCACATTGTAGTATTGTATTTGAACAATTATTATAGATGCACGCTTAGGTAGAGCTCATCCCCACGGTCATTTTCCCTGGTTCATTTACCATACCAAGCACATCACTGCAGCTTGATAAAGAGATGGTAGAAGCTAGGGGAGAATGCGTGATTACATTTGGAAACTATCAGCAAGAAAAACCAGATACAGAAACGAATGCAGCAAGAAAGAAAGACAGAGAGGCCATGCTGGTTCCATGGCTAAGGAAACGTTGGAATTCTCCTGGCTTAAACAGAATGCACTCCTCTTAACTCAAGTGCGCTTTTAAATAGCTCTTGTTACAAAGAGCAAAAGGCTAGAGCACGACTGTTGTTCTAGACCAGTGGTTCTCAGCATGTGGGTGAAGACCCCTTTGAGGGTGGCATATCAGACATTTACATTACAATCCATAACAGTAGCAAAATTACAGTTATGAAGTAGCAACAGTAATTTTATGGTTGGGGGTCACCACAACATGAGGAGCCATATTAAAGGGTTGCAGGATTAGGAAGGTTGAGAACCACTGTTCTAGACTGAACTGATCAGGAGAAGCAGACAGTTTACTGGGGCTACTGAGGGTGACCTTTAATCCTCATTGTCACCTTGCCTGGGCTTAGAATCACCTAGGAGACACACCTGGGAGGGAGTGTGCAGAGAGGTTTACAGGGAAGACCGTCCCAGGGACTGTCCCAACCAAATCAAAGGGGGAAAGCCAGCTTAGATAGCATTCGTCCCTCCCTGCCTCCTGACTGTGGGCACAATGTGCGACTGCCCCCAAACTACAACTACTACAAGACCTTTGTAGCTGTCACACTGCCCCTGCCTTAATAGACTACATACACCGTTGGACTAGGCCCAAATAGAGACCTTTGTAGCTGTCACCCTTCCCCTGCCTTGATAGACTCTATACACCCTTGGATCCTGCCTCAAGTTCCTGCCTTGGCTTCCCTCTACGATGGACTGGAACTCGTAAGCCAAATAAGCCTTTCTTCCCCTAAGTTGCTCTCATTCATGGCATTTATCACAGCAACAGAAAACAAGCTAGCACTGAGAACCACTCTGTGAAGCCAGTTCTCTCCTTTGGGGGATCTAGACTGGAACTCGGCTTGTCCGGCTTACGGGATGAATGTCTACCAGCTGAGGTAGCTCACTGGCCCCACCTTTTATTTCTCTCTCCTATTTCCCTATAACCTTCCAAAAGTAGAGATTGTTTCTTCAACAACTTTGTTGAGAGTTCCCAAACGGAAGCACAGTGGCAGGTGTTTAATAAATGTTGAAATAGCATCCTTACGTATTTTTACAAGAAGAAGCCATGAGTTAGGCTCAAGGCTTTGAAACCCATCCTTCCCAGGAGAGCCACTTCTTGGGACGTTGCTTTCTGGTTGACCTCACACTTGGAGCTCCCGTCATGTTGACATTCCCAGTTAAGGGTACCGTCCCCTTCTCTCGGGACTGCCACAGTCTCGTGGAAATCAGAAAACGTGAGAGTCTGATAGTGTGGGGGAGGGCCTTTCCTGACAGATGCAAAGCTTGCTGTGGAATACAGCAGAGGAGCACTACAGCTGGGGGAAGAGCTGGCCATAGGACTGTCTGTGGGAAATAAGTGCTGAAGTAGACAGAGAAGGGCAGAAAAGAAAGACAGAGAAGTTAATAGGAAGAGATGGGAAAGTGTGACGCAGTGCTGAGGCTAAGAGATGACAGTAGATTCATCAGATTGATCTAGAAAGAACAGAATGTTTTCATGAGGATCGAGTATATAGACAGGAGTGAGTGGCAGTGGTTTTCTCCTTAGACCTGGATCCTGAGTAAAGTACTCCCTGAGGACTTCATTAGGGGTGGTGGACCTTGTCTAATTTGCTATTGGCTACATAGGCACATGATGGCCTGGGCAGCTCTCGGCCTTCTCCTCCAAACCCCAATAACATGACTAGTGGCAGCCCAGCGAGGCTTGTCATTTTTAGATGCCTTGTTTTTTCAAGGAACGGAGACCCCATTCTGTTCCCCTGAGAACTCCCATGTTCACTCATGAAGGACAGGAGTGGTACTCAAGACAGGACTGAACTAAAGGCTTACTATCTGAAGCTCAAGATAAAGCCTTGCAGGGCAGATCATGTTGGAATCTGCTCCCTCAGGCTTCTCAAGGCCTCTAGTTCATGTCTAAGATATGACCTGCTATCCAGTTTACCACAGGACGAGTGCCCTGTGATGAGAATTAAGTATTTCAGTTTAAGTCATGGAGCTGTGGGTGCCTCTGATGCCGGACTTAAATATTTCTCATTCCTATAAGCATGAAAGAATTGAGCTTTGTTCCATTCCATCAGAATCACAGGTAACAGATTTGTTCAGACAAGTGTGATGGGAAAAATCTGAGGACAGAGCTGTCAATGTGGCATATTTCAAACACAAAAGCTGATTGGTGGTGATTTTCCAAATGTTTTCACTTCAGTGTCAAAAACGGTATTTCTCTGCCTGGCACAAGCTGATTCTGGATCATAGGATTAAGCTGGGGAAAGCTGGGACCCTGTCTGACTGGAAGCTTCAACTGAAGGTCCTGCGAGCCTGGAGAGACTATACACGGTCCCAGAAGATGGAGCGGGAGACCCAAGCCTTGGAAAATGACCTTAGGGAAGAGAACAGGTACATTACTTGAACCCTGAAAATCCTCCTGGTGTGCTGATGATCTAGGGCATCTTCCCTCTGAAGAGGCCGGAAATCAACTCCAGAAACACTGTCCTCTACAATCAGCTATGACACAGTGGTCTGTTCTCCTGTTTTACCCCAGCTAGAGAGACTTAACTGAAAATGAGAAGCAACGTGATTATCTGATTAAAATGTACCGATGAATCTCGTTCCCTTTCTGTAAAGGAAAGACTGGGCTTCCATTGCTGGGGAACAGCACTGCACCTTGTACCATCTCACAGTTCTGAAGAGGGAGTTTGCTCTATATGCCAATAATTCTCATTGATAGAATTGCTGTCTGCACATAGAATGTTAATTAAGGACGCAGGGAACATCCATCTGGGAGGGCCAACCTGCCAAGAGTGATTCCTCCCACACTGCTGTCTTTTGTTCCACACCTTATTTAGAGGTTTCTGACGCTTTTAGATCAAGTCCCTCTTTGCTAGTGCTGTGTCACACAGAATTTATTGTCAAATAAAGCTTTTTTTAAAATCTCATTATCTTAAAATTAAATACATTTTCTCTTTCCATCTCCAAGTTTAACTTAGTGTGTTGATTTTGTGTGTTAATTTTGTTTTGTTGCTGCTTAGTAGTGCTGGCTGTTGAACCCCGGGCTTTGCATATTTTACTGCTGGGCTACAGACCCTCAGCACATCACCTTTCTGTTCTAGAATCAATGTCAGGGGAGCAGAAGGAACCATTCTGTTCTTAAGTATAATCACTACAGACGACTCTGTCATTCATTCAAGATAAAAAACTAAGTGAATGGTATGTGGAAGAGTTGTTACATTGAAAGGCATAGCTGTGCACCCCGATGCTAGCATCAGACCCGGGAGGTTATACAGGCGTTTGTCACATGAGGATATACAGGCATTTGGCCCTTGGTCCATTGTCCTCAAAGAACTCAGTTCTAGGAGAAAAACAGTGTCTAGAGACAGTACAGGTGTTCAGCATATCATACAGTAAGTTCCCTTCTGCTGCTAGGAACACAACAGAGCGAAATGTCACTGGTCGGGTAGGTGCCTCAGATTGTGTAAAGCAGGCTTCATCAGGGGGAAAGTAGCCATCTGGTTTGGCTGGAGATAAACATGTGGCCTTCTGATCCCTGAGCCTCTCCAGTGCCCATGAAAAGCTTTATGTGCCAGGCCAAGGGGTTTAGGTATTAGTTGGTTATAAGGTGCCTTTCTAAAGCCTGTCTTTTGTACCATACAGTGGGGACATCTGTGGTGGAAAGGGCCACTGGAGAGAACGCTCCTTTGATCTGTTTCCAGAATCCCAGGACCTTGTGATTGCTGTAAGGAACTGGGATGGCGGCCGACTGGAAAACTGAATGATGGGGGTTTGCTGGGTAAAGAATTTGAACTGGAGACAGCGTAAGGGCATCGAGTGGAAAGTGAAATGTTAAAGTTAAAAGCCGCCTCTAAGACTTGCATGCCAGAAGAAACTTGTAGAAGAAAAATCTGGAGAACTCAGGATTCCATTCCAATTAAACAGTTTAAATATAAAGGCACTAAATGGAGATTTCATAATAGTATAATGTGCCAATTTTTTTTTTAAGATCTCAGAACTTTTAGTCTGGTATCTAAATTATTTTCAGGTGTCTATTTTTAAATGTTCAGAACGGGTACTAAAATTTTTTTAACCACTGAAGTTAGAAAATATTGAACTTATAATACTTTTTTTACTATAAAGCATTAGAACAAAACATACCCTCGAGCAGGATGACATCTTAGGATCTGATCCAGCCCCTGGCTTCAGGGCTGAGGACGAGAAAGCCCCGAGAGGAGAAGTGAGTCACAAAGCCAGATGTGAGCCGAGAGCCTTGTCCTGGGGTTCTGCCTGGGGTGCCTCTGCCAGACAGTGCTGCCTCCGGTCAGGACCAACAGCGTCTTGGTTGGGGTTCCCAGGCTAGCCCTGAGTCTCTGCTGTGTTGCAGTTTGCTTTAGAGTGTGATAGGAAAACGGAGGGTGGGGACTAACAGGCCATCCGAGAAAGGAGTGAGGTGGAGGAGCTGTTCCTGCAGACCCTCCCGAGTCCCCAGCTCTGCATGTTGACTGTTGTCCTAGAAACTGTTGAGGAAATTGAGACCCTGGACCATCTTCATCGTGCCCAGCGAGGTTTCTCTGCGTTGCCTCGGTGGACATTGACTACAGTGGTAAATGAGCCAGTTAGTGAAGGGAGGGAGGTTTGGACGCTTCCTTCCCTGCAGTTGAACTGGAGGCTTCATGCTCCAGTGCGCCATGGCTAGGTGAGAGCCGGGGTAGAGTGGTTCCTCACAGGGAGGGAGTGACAGGATACAGGCGATGCTGTGGCTCATCGCAGGATGCTCTTGAAACCTCTTGTCTGTTTCTCAGATGTGAGCTGAATCCACATCTCCGGTTTCTGCACCCACAGTGGCTTTGTTCCCGGAGGTTTCTCCTCACCGTCTGCTCCCCTGCAGGGCCCAGCCTTGTGGGCTTTCCTCTGTTCTTCCCGCTCGCCCTTAAAGCAGCAACAAATCCCTCTGTTCTTATTCATAATTTAGGAACCTCCTTGGCTTTCTGTGCACAGCCTCACCTCCACTCCAAGGGTTCATCCACTTATTCTACAAATGTATCTTGCTTTCTCTAGTAGGAATTGTGGTCATTCTATTTCCATCCATCTCTTTTCTTTCAGAAGTAGTGATTATGTTGGATGTGATGGTGCATTCCTGTAATCCTAGAATTTGGGAGGAGAAGGCAGGGCGATGAGTTGGAGGTCATCTTTAGCACATAGCCAGTCTGAGGCCAACTTGGGTTACATGAGACCTAGTCTCAAAAAAATAAAATAAAATGAAAAAAAAAAAAAAAGGTTATTGTGACTAATGGTTTTACTAAATTTTAATATAATATCATACTATAATTTCAGCATAACAAACATTTCCAGATTCATTTGCTTAGGTAGTGTCATAAAACTCTATTATTCACACCTTTGGTGTGGTGGTATCGAAATTTTAACAGTGTCAATCTCCTTAGCATATTCACTTTCACAGGTTGGCTCCATATCTCTTGTTCTCCTCTCCCTTCTTCCTTGAATTTATAGGCAGCTCTACAGGAAAATGGGAATAAGCAGGGTTTGCGTTCAGTATCGTCTGCTGGCCTTTCTTGAGTTCTGTTCTCCTACTTCCTCTGGACTTCCCTGGGAAGTACCTGTCCTAGGCTGTACCAACCACCTTCCACATGTCCCGGGCGGCCATCTTCAGTCCTCTGGCCCTGCCTAGAACATGCCTTGATCTCTCCCTGTCATTTCTCAAGCCCCCCACATCTTTGTGCCTATAGTCCCTGATTTCCCTAATTCTTCATTTCTAACACTTCTCAGTTCAGCTTTCCGTGGGGAATCATATACAAAGAATCATATACAAAGCACTTCTTTTAATCACGTTCAGTCACCTCCCCCTCTGTGCTCACCTAGCTCCCAGGTGAGTGGCCAGAGGCCACGTAGCATATGTGTCCGGTGAAGCCCCTAATAAGATCTGTCAGAGGACCAGACTTGCACTTGCCTGGCTCACTTTAAAAACTCCTTTAAACAAAATTGTCTTCTATTCCCTGTTTCCCTGGGGGCTACCTGGTGCATTATGGAATGCATTAGCTTGCTCTTTCCTGTTCCTGCTGAACCTGCTCGTCCCAAATGCAGCTGACCCTGTCACTGCTATGATCATGGTCTGCGTCAGGTTTCGGCACTTAGTCAGATCACCGGCGTGTGGTTATTTATCCTCTCTCATCCCTTTTGAAAAATTCAAGACGCAGGGCCAGTGAAATGGCTCAGACGATAAAGACACCTGCCGTCAAGCCTGGTGATCTGAGTTCCATCCCCAGAAGCCACATGGTGGAAGGTGAGAACTGACTCCTGCGAGTTGTCCTCTGACCTCCACACACCCACCATGTGACCCCCACCCAAAAAGAAAGCAAACAGTAAGACACGGTTTAGACATCCAATAGTCTTGCTGTAAGATATCATTAATACTTTATTATAGATTTCATTCTATACTTTTAGATTTTGTTTTATTTATTTAAGGTAACAACAGAAAAAAAAATACTGGAAGACTAGGCATGTAGAGTTCTCAGGACCATTTCTGAGGATGGATCTGCAGCTTAGAGACCATCAGCTACTTGCCCACTATCCCAGATCTCTGCTTGGAGTTCTCCTGACTTCAGGGTTCCACATTACACACCTCTCACTAAAAGCACTATTGGAAGTATTGATCCTGGGCAACTTGGTTCACACTTGAATTCCTATTTAAATTGTTCCTGTTTTGTGTTCTTAAGCCTACAGAGGCAGCCTTTCTTTGCAGGCAGTTATGTAATTATGATGATCAATTTATACATTCTTGCTAGAAATGTTCTGATTTAGCTCACAAGCATATTGGGACAGGCTGTTTTCCATAAGGCACTCTGCCCTTCTTTATGGTTACTGGGAACTGTGGCTTGAGCCTTTTCCTCAAGTGAATTTAACTAAGCGATTGCATCTCACTAAGGTTTTATGAAATTGAGGTGATTTTACCCCCGGTTCAGAACTAGCTATATTTTTAGCAATCTTTTAAAAAGTATAGAAGTTGGTTCATATGGGACATTGTCACTGTGCCAAAATGGAGTGCAGAGCAGCAGCCATGGAAACAGCCTCTCTGGTTTCAGTGTCTGTCTTCTGCCCTCCACCTTCACTGGCAAAGCCGGAAGTCCTAACTGCATTCCAGAGCTCCTGGGCAGCCATCACAGAGGGCTCTCAGCTCTGGAACAAACACGTCCTTCTTCTCATATCCCTACCTTCTTAGTCTTGAGGGAGTTACAGAGATGGTTTTCTCCTGGTCTTTCGTAGCAGCTAAAGACCTGAACTGAAGGTCGGAAGCCCAGTCAGTGCTGCTTTGGGCTGTTTATGCTGTGAAAATGGTCTCAGCACACCAGGCACCTCCACACCTCTCCCTCTTGAGAAGATGGATGTAAATTGGATTTCACGTTAATCAGACTCAGCAACCAGTGTCTCCTGTCCTAAAATGTATGACTTTTCCTCACTGGAGAGAACGCTAGGTTTTTGTTTGTCTCCTTGCTTAGCTTTGCCCCTTTTCTAATGCTTTCCCTGCTCCTTAACTTACTGCCTCTTCTAAAAATTGTATCAAGTCAGTCTTGTTAGATACTTAATTTACTGCCATTATAGTAAAAATACATCCATATTGATTATGCCTTATAATACACTTTTATTATAGAAACTCTCTGCCAGTCACCAAGTATTGGTCAGCCATCATCAACTGTATAATCAACCATTATGAGGATCAATTAAATATAATGATATATGCTGTTGGAAAATGTCCTGGTCGCTTTTCTGCTGCTGTAGCAGAGTATCATAGGCCAAATGATTTATGAACAATAGGAGTTGATTTGGTTCCTAGTCCTGGGGACTTAGGAGCCCAGAGCATAGTACTAGTGTGACAAGGGCAGGCAAGCACACACTGGGCAGGTAGGAGCTGGGCTCTCCCTTTTCAGTGGTAACCCACCTCCAGGACAAGAGCATCGCTCTGTTCCTAGGGGCAGAGCCTTCGAGGCCTAATCAGCCGTTTTCATGTTTTGCCTGGCTGGTAAGCATATAACACTGAGCTACCATCTCTAGCTCCCTAGTCGCCTGTCCAAGGCCCCATTTCTTCATATTGTTACAGTAGGAGTTCAGTCTGCACACTTTTAGAAGGTATGTAGAAACCATGGCAGCTGAGGTACTTGTATATCAAGGCTAGATTAGAAGAGGCATAGCTGTGCATTTCTGGTAGGAAGGGGAAATACTATTTCGTGAAACTTGTGTTTCCTTTAAGTTTGTAAACTTCTACATTAAGTTACATTTTTCACTGTAGGTAACTATCAGAGAAGGTCAGAAGTCATGTAAACATTTTTGAAAAACTATAGAAATGGGGACTGGAGAAATGACTCAGCGGTTAAAAGTACTTGATGTTCTTGCAAAGGACTTGGATTCAGTTTGGGGCACCATCTTGTGGGGATTCACAGCCTTCTGTAACTGCAGTTCCAGAGGGATCTGACACCCTCTTCTGGCGTCTGTGGGTACTGCATGCATGCATATGGTCTGAATATGTATTTACATGCAGGCAAAACAGTCATACACAAAAGTAAACAAATCTTTTTTTTTAATCTCTAGAAATATTCTCCTTACTCACTGATTTAAATTGTTATGATTTTCTTGATAGAACCCCAGAGTGTATATACAATGTGTAATAGAAAGAGCTAAGCAAACAGTGCTATGGAGAACTCAGTTATGTTTACAAGATAAAATCAAGAAGGCGAATAAACGATATTGGATTTAAAGTCTCCAAATGGACGCCTGATGCCACATAATCAATAACAGAATAAGTTCCAAGGTCCCAGTGATAACTGTCCCCCAATAGATAGATACAAGAAACCTCTAGGCTTGAGTCCTGAGCCTGTGTGGTGTGATGTTCACATGTGTGCAGATGGAGGCCCAAGGTTGCATACGTGCAGATGTGATGTTCACATGTGTGTAGATGGAGGCCCAAGGTTGTGTATGTGCAGCTGTGATGTTCACATGTGTGCAGATGGAGGCCCAGGTCGTGTTAGGTGTCTTTTTTTTGGTTTTTCAAGACAGGGTTTCTCTGTGTAGCTTTGCGCCTTTCCTGGAACTCACTTTGGAGACCAGGCTGGCCTCGAACTCACAGATTCCTTCTTTCCATTTCCTGTGTTTTGAGATTACAGACAGGCCACCACAGCTACCTGCTGTTAACATGGCCTCTGGGGATCTGAACTCCAGTCCACACATTTGTGTGGCAAAAGTTTTACCTGCAGAGCCTTCTCCTCAGCCCCAAGGCTTGAATTCTTGACCAACTTCCACCATGATGTCTGCTGGCGATGATTCCCATGGGGAAATCAATAATGTCCACTCCCAATCCAACCAGCCAGGATCACTTATGTTTACGAAGGTTCTGGGAGCCCAAAGGAGCTCTTTCTTAGGTGATGGATGAGCTCCCTGAGAGCTGGAGCCTGGCCTGTGCCTTCACGTGTGTCTAGTGCTTTGCTCTCTCTTCACAACACAGCCATTCATTCAGCTCAGGGCTTTGGGAAATGAGTCCTCTTCAGCGCTCCTCTCCCTGGGCAGGTCTGTAATGAGATCACCTTCAGGCCTTGACCTCGACTTTGAGAAGTCTTTTTTCTTGTTGTTTGTCTGTCTGTTTGGATTTTCAGACAGGATTTCTCTGTGTAACAGCCCTGGCTGTCTTGAAACTTGCTTTGTAGACCCAGCTGGCCTCGAACTCACAGAGACTGGCCTGCGTCTGCCCGCCAAGTGTTGGGATTAAAGGCGTGCGCCACCATCCGGTGATAAGTCATAATTATCGGCACCATTGAGTGATGTGGCTAGGTTATTGAATTTTCTGCTAACGTACCTGCCTTAGATTTCCACCCCCGCCGGAATCTCTAATTCCCTAATGCAGTCTTCTTTTCAAAATAGTTACATGTGTATATAATATAAATTAATATGTCTTATTGGGAAGATAGAACAGTACAACTGCTTTTTCTTCTTAAAGGTGATGCTGAGGTGTTGATGCCTTTGATTAGAGTCTGCTCTGAGGATCATAAGTAATTCCATTTAGTTTACTATAACATGATAAGATGGGGCATCTCAGGAACTCCTTTGGCTTTATGTTTCATTTGTATTATGAGCTAATACTATAAATGGCTTCTTCTTTTTTTTTTTTTAATGGACGCACTTTGTCTCTTAGAAAACAACAACTGGCTACTGAGTATAACCGGAAACAAGTTCTTCGTTACTGCTTTTCCGAATGGCAGCGTTGGCATGGTTCAGAAGTTATTAAGAGAGAGCTGGCTCTAGCCAAGGAACAAACCAGGAAGAAAATGGATGAGCTGCTGAAGGCAGCCTCCCTCGGGAAACTCAGTTCAAATGGGTCATCAGGAATCCGTCTTCTTGCCGAGACGACAGCCACAGTGGACCCGCCAGTAGAAAGTGGAAAGGTGCCTTGTTTCCTTTGTTTGGGCTTCGTGTTTATTATGGGTTTGCATCTGAGCTTTGCCCTTTATAGCAGCTGAAGTCAGAGTGCCTTGTCTAGGCCATGCAAAGGTTAGGGCTGCTACAGTGCACAGAGGTTACCACTCAGGCTGTGATTATTTCCTTAACCGGATATATATATATATATATATATATATATTTTTTTTTTTTTTTTT